TAGCTTCTCTCAAAGGTAGTATCGCCCGCGCTGTAGGTGCATGGAACAGGTTTCGATATTTACTACCTACAAGCCTGAAGCACCATACCTACAACGCACTTATACACTCCCGTTTAACGTACTGTTTTCTAGTTTGGTCGACTACAACACAGTATAATTTAGGATCACTTCAAATGCTTCAGAACCGTGCGCTACGTGCAATAGAAAATTTAGGGTATATTACAAGCACCCAAATATTTCATTCCAAAAATAAAATATTAAAGGTGCCCAAGCTCTACAGATACAATCTATTTCCTGAAATTGTGCGGTAGTTTAAGTCTGACAAACATTCCTTCCAGAGTAAGTACATTGAGAAAACAACAGACTACAAATTAAGAAATTGTTCTGTATTTATACCGCATAGCAGAACAAATTACGGAGAACAAAAACTTGCTGTTCGAAATCCTAACCTCCTCAATGAGTATACCTTTACCATAGATTTATCATAAAGGCCAAGAATGGGGAGAGTCAAAGATAAGGGTTAATGGGGAGTTTCTTAGTAACCTGCACTTTGTTGATGAAATTTGCCTCAGGGAACGATAATTACTGAAGTGGACACAAAAAACAGAAAGGTAAGTGTGAAAATTAATGGGCACAAAACTAAAGTATTGTGCAACAGTCGGGACAGAAAGCAGCATTTAGCGATAGGCAGAGAGACGCTGGAAGTAGGAAAGGAGTATACGTCTACTTAGAACAAGTAGTAAGTACGGAGCCAGAAGAATAATGAGAAGAAGAAAGGACCAGAAGAATAAGGCTGCGGTGTATCACGTTTGGCAAGCATTATCAAATCATAAATGATAATCTGCCACAAACCCTCAATAGGAAGGTTTTTAACAGCTCCATCTTGCCAGTACTTACCTACAGAGCGGAAATCTGGAGGCTTACAATGTAGGTTTAGCTTAAATTGAAGATGACGCAGCGAGCGATGAAAAGAAAATTGATAGAGACAAGAAAATAGCAGAGTGAATTGAATTGTATTTTATTTTTACGTATCCTATTACATGAAGAATAGCGGAAGTAAAAGCTGCACTAAAACAGCTTTACTAGTTGTCGCTACCTAAAAGAAATGGGTCAAAAGCATTGACATACAAATAAGATAACAAAAGCATACTATACAGAAATATGGTAATATCACTAAATTACATATTCTAAACGTTAACAGAATGCAACAGTTGCCATGACGAGAAAAATAAAACACAAGAAGCTTGAAAAGGCTTTGTCTACATATGTTACAAAATTTATGAGAGCTCAAACTCATACAAAAGGATGAATGACGTCATGATACAATTTATAAAAAGAACGATGTAATTTTTGTGTCGTGTTTTCTATATTCACATCTATGCTACCTAAAAAGTTCAACATCTTGGGAATTGTATTCCGTACCATTTTGTCACCATATTTTTTGCATGATCGTGGTATTACCGAGAGGTTATGCTTACGGGTATCATTTTTATTTTCCGAAAATTGTAGGTTGCTGCTCCGGGACGTCCGAGCACGCTAGTGTCTCGCTTTAACCCTCTACCCCTTCCCTCTTTATGCCGGATCGTCAATAGAGTTGTTTCACTCACTCAGGTTGGCTAACTTAATTAGTACAGTTTTTTGCTTCAGCCCCCTTTTGAAAATCCGGGGTTGGTGGATACTGGAATCGTTGGTGGATATGGTGGAGAAATTGTGGATATGGTGGAAATATTAGTGGATATGGCGGAAACTGTAAAGGGCCTAATGGCTGATGGCTGCGAGAGTGGAAAAAATGGTGGCAGACGGTGGTGGTGGTGGAGAGCCAATGGTGGTGACGGTGAAAAATGCCGGCTCATGGTGGCGAGGCAAAACGTGTTTGGTCGAAGGCTTGGTGAGTAAGGTCGATGACAGTGGCATGATGGAAGCTTGGTGGATGACGGTGGCATGATGAAAAGCACATGACAGTATGTGAAATTACTTATTTTAGTGTTTCATTCCTGAATGCGCAGAGATATATGTTTACGGTCGAAAAAAACCAACGCTGCTCATTATGCTTTCTAGTACGTTTTTTTTATTTCTGTGGTGTCAACAACGTTTCAATTTCTATGGAGCATAGAATATGCGGCATGTAATATGCTGACACTTCACGCACGTGCTTACATCAGTTTGATATACGCGATGTGTTTGTTGTGATGTTTAGAAGACTAGAGTTGTCACTGTGAACATGAATATAAATCTTTTACATCGACGAGCAGTTGTCGACAAAAAAATTGGCTCCAGTTCGCTATTGCCCCTTTCAGTGTGTTCTGTGACATCAAATCACCGCAGAACACAGCGGTCACTTAATGTCACTATTGTCACGAGGTTGTGATACACGCAGCACTTGAGAGGAAGCACGCAGGAGTCAGGGCGGTGTCAGGCGAACTGTTTATTGGGCGAACTTGTGCCCAGCAAAACAGGGCCAAACACAACTCACAGCAACAGCGGCGTGAGCAGTCGTCGGCCGACGGAAAAAAAAGACCCCCCAGTGGCGCACTGCGCCGGCTTTTATACACGCTTCGTAATGCGTTCCAGAGTGGCATACAAGATAAACGCGGCCTGCGTTGCGCTCAACAGAAAGTGATAGCGGCTTCCCTCGTAAACCAAAAGAACCACACGTGTCAGTCTTTTATACACGCGTCATAACGCGTTCCAAAGTGGCATACAAGATAAACGCGGCCTGCGTTGCGCTTAACAGAAAGTGATAGCGGCTTTCTTCGTAAACCAAAAGAACCGCACGTGTCACTACCCCCCTCTGAAAAAGCATCGTCCCGATGCTAAAGACAGAACATAAGAGAGAGTACATGCAATAAATTACATTAACAATGCGTCACAGCTAATCAGCGCGCGTAATGAGGTTTAAGTCGCACCACGTGTACGACTTCGGGTCGTGCACGGCGTCGTTGGGATGACGTTAAGCCATCGGGCACGACCTCATAGTCCAGTTCACCACGACGTCGGACTACCTTGTAGGGTCCAAAGTAGCGTCGCAGGAGCTTCTCAGACAATCCCCATCGTCGTATCGGCGTCCAGACCCAGACAAGGTCGCCGGGTTGGTATTCGGTGTGGTGTCGTCGAAGGTTGTAGTGGCGCCTGTCGACCGTCTGTGTGCTCTTGATACGCAGGCGGGCTAGCTGTCGAGCTTCTTCAGCGCAATCCAGGTAGCTGGCGAAGGTCTTCTTCGTCGGTGCCGACCGGTAGCATGGCGTCAAGCGTCGTTGTTGGGCTCCGTCCGTAGACGAGCTTGTATGGAGCAAACTGCGTCGTTTCCTGCACGGCCGTGTTGTACGCGAAGGTTACATACGGGAGTATGGCGTCCCACGTCTTTTGCTCGACGTCCACGTACATGGCCAGCATGTCGGCGATGGTCTTATTTAGACGCTCGGTGAGGCCATTCGTCTGTGGGTGGTACGCGGTGGTTTGGCGGTGGCTTGTCTGACTGTACCTCAAGATCGCTTGCGTTAGGTCAGCCGTAAAGGCCGTACCTCTGTCGGTGATGAGGACCTCGGGGGCTCCGTGGCGGAGGACGATGTTCTCAATGAAGAACTTGGCGACCTCGGCGGCAGTGCCATTGGGCAAGGCCCTTGTTTCGGCATAGCGGGTGAGGTAGTCAGTCGCTACGACAATCCATTTGTTGCCAGAAGTTGACGTCGGGAACGGCCCCAGTAAGTCCATGCCGATTTGTTGGAATGGCCGTTGAGGTGGTTCGACGGGTTGCAGAAGTCCGGCTGGCCTAGTGGTCGGCGTCTTGCGTCGCTGACAGTCTCTGCATGTTTTTACGTAGTGGGCGACGTCGGCAGTGAGGCGAGGCCAATAGTACTTCTCTTGTATTCGTGACAGTGTGCGGGAAACACCAAGATGTCCGGCTGTCGGGTCGTCGTGTAATGCTTCCAGAACCTCTGGACGTAACGCTGAAGGCATCACGAGGAGGTGGTCGGCGCGGACCGGCGAGAAGTTCTTCTTCAGGAGGACGTTGTTTCGCAGGAAAAACGAAGCCAGTCCTCGGCGGAATACTTTTGGCACGTCGGCGGTCTTGCCTTGCAGGTAGTCCATGAGGATCTTGAGCTCTGGGTCAGCTCGTTGGCGTTCCGCGAAGTCGTCGGTACTTATGGGTCCCAGGAAAGAGTCGTCGTCCTGGTCATCCTGGGGCGGCGGATCGACAGGGGCGCGAGACAAGCAGTCGGCGTCGGAGTGCTTTCGTCCGCTCTTGTAGACGACGGTGATGTCAAATTCTTGTAGTCTGAGACTCCACCGTGCGAGGCGCCCTGATGGATCCTTCAAGTTAGCTAGCCAACACAAGGCGTGGTGGTCACTCACGACTTTGAAAGGCCTGCCGTACAGGTAGGGGCGGAACTTTGATGTAGCCACGATGATGGCAAGGCATTCCTTTTCTGTCGTGGAATAATTGGCTTCTGCCTTCGAAAGTGACCGGCTAGCGTAACTGATGACCCTTTCAAGTCCGTCGGTCCTCTGCACGATCGCGGCACCGAGCCCTGTGCTGCTTGCGTCCGTGTGAATTTCGGTGTCAGCTTCTTCGTCGAAGTGCGCCAGTATTGGCGGCGTTTGCAGGCGTCGCTTTAATTCTTGAAATGCCTCGACTTGCGGCGTTTCCTATTTGAAGTCGACGTCGGCCTTCGTGAGGTACGTCAGTGGCTCGGCGATCCGCGAAAAGTTCTTCACGAAGCGCCTGTAATAAGCGCAGAGGCCAAGAAATCGGCGTACTGCTTTCTTGTCGGTGGGTGCAGGAAAGTCGGCGATCGCAGCTGTTTTCTGTGGATCAGGGAGCACTTCCGACTTGCTGATAACGTGGCCAAGGAACAATAGTTCCTCGTAGGCGAAGCGGCACTTTTCTGGCTTCAGGGTAAGTCCTGAGGCTTTGATTACCCGAAGAACAGCTTCAAGGCGCCGGAGGTGCTCGTCGAAGTTGGAAGAAAATACGACTACGTCGTATTTCGAAACGATTTGAATATCTCTAAAGTCTAGTTACGTCGCACATGAAGCGCAGCAGCAGGGCCCGAAAGAATGCGGTCATGCCGCGAGTTCGAACGGAGTCCTAAAAAGTTGCTTGTTTTACGATTTGGTTACGTGCTTTTTATTTATAGGAAACGCTATGAACGCTAATAATAAGGTTCGCTAATCTAAGTCACTGATTTGACCTAGGAAAGGCAGCCTTAAAACATGCGTTAGTGACGTTATAACGCAATAAAGTGCCTGAACGATTCTCCGTTTGTAGTTATAGGGACCTTCGCGCTATGAGAGGCGTCAGATGACCCAGGAACCTGCGCACCAATCGTCCGTGGCATTTCTCGGTATCAATCGAAAATGTTGAGCTCTACCGCCTTCATTTTACTTCCGGGCAACCGCATACAGCATCGTGCATTCAGCAAAAGTGCTGTGGTGCACCACCTGCAGAAACAATCGCGCCTGCGAGTAGTGGACAACAGCGCACTGGGTCGCCAGGCCATGATGGATGGGAAGCCGCCAAAGATCATCCAGGTCTACAACAAGACGGGCATTGCCTCTATTGGCGACAAGGTGTTGGTGGCAATCCTGGGCCAAAAGAAGAAGGGCTTTGTTGTGGGCTGCAAGCACATGAAACAGAGGCCGCTGGTGCCTCGATATGACACGAACAACATGGTGCTGCTCGACGACAACGGCAATCCTCTGGGCACACGCATACTGGTGCCTCTGCCATCCATGCTACGCGGAGAGAAGCCGCGTTATTCCAAGATTCTGGCCCTCTGCTCGCGATTCGTCTGAATGGACTCGTTCGTAGCCTCCACCAAAGTGACTGCGTGCCAGTTGTTACCACACCAGAGCGTGGCTTCGTGGGAGGCACAGTCGGGGAAAGTAGCCGCTGTTAATAAAATAGTGTCATACCTGTGGAATGCGCAACCCCGAAGTAAACCATAATTGCACTCCGACATGCGCAATTTGCACGGGAAACCATATCACTGGAGACCGCAGTTGTCTGAAACGCCTCAAGCCTATTCGCAAGCAAGCAGCGAAACCACCCAAAAAACCACACAAGCCAGCCCCTCGCTGGTTTCAGTCGGAGGAAGAGGAATCAGAATGGGAGTACGGACGAGGCGGGACCCGAAAGAGCCGTTCCAGAACCCGCACGCCGTCGAAAAACCGTGCCGTGGAGACAGGACAACCAGGACAGCGGCATCCAAAGTCGACTTCGACGCCGAGAGCAATCTCCCAGGACAATCCGAACGCGCAAGCCCTTCCGAGAAGCAAGCCACCGGGGGCGTGTCCTGCACATAGCAACCCACAGGCGGACGCGGTAAGCTATGCGCAAGCCGTATCTCCCACTACCAAACATAAACCCGTTACACGAACGATCACAGAACACCCAGAATACAAGCGGGTAGTAGCTGAAAACAGACAACTTAGAACAGAACTACAGGAGGTTAAGTCTCTAATGGCGCGCCTGGAGTCACTACTAAACCAGTCGAGCAACACAGAAAGCCCGGCGAGCACACCTGTTGTCTCGCAGCCCGTTGCGCAGCCCGTGGCAACGCAACCACCACAAACACCGCCGATAGCGTTCCTAGTTCAACAAATTCAACTTGTTTTTGCCAAACTAGGCCAGATGGAACGCACCATAAGCGACTTGAGTCAGGCGCAGAATCCTCGCAAGAGATCTTGTCAGAGCCCGGGTGCCCCCACCAGACAACCTAAAGAAAGTGGAATAACAGATTCCGAGAATAACAATCATGGCTAGACACCGTAACAATAAAAAGACCGAGCAAACGGAAATATGGCAGTGGAACTGCTGCTCATTGAGAACAAAACTTGAAAATTTCTAACAATTTATTGGAGCATCTCCAATCCCTCCTGATATAATCTGCCTTCAGGAAGTAGGCAAATTTCAGATAAATCTGAGAGGATACATAAGATATGTTAACCCAAAGTACCCACAAGTGGCGACATTTACCAAAAAAGATATCGCATTGAGTGTCAGCTACGTGAGCAATGAGGCAGTGCAACACCAGATAATAACAGTGTGGCCCAAAAAACGTGGAGGACCAAAAACAGTGGGGGTCAATATATATAGCCCACCTAAGGAGAGACGAGCCGACTTTGAGAACATTATAGCACATGCGATGGGTTTATTGAAAGAGAAAGACAGGTTAGTTATCATGGGGGATTTTAATGCGCCACACAGAAATTGGGGATATAAGCAGGACAGCCCTAAGGGCAAACTCCTTGTAGACCTTGTTGAACGGTATGATCTCTGCCAACTTACACAACCAGACCTACCGACACGGGTCGGGAATAGCTTAACAAAAGACACGTCACCGGACTTAACGTTTACAAATTCTGAAGGAAACGTCTCATGGGCGCACCTCGGAGAAAACTTGGGAAGCGACCACTACATTCTCGGAATAACTATTAATGCCGCCACGACAAGAAGAATGGGGAAAGCGACAATATCTGATTGGAACAAATTTAGGGAGAACGTAGGAGACCAAGGGGAAATAATAGATCTAGGTAACTGGGTGACACAGATAAAGGAGGCACACAGGAAAGTGACAAAGGAAATAGAAACAAGCGTGGAAATCCCAGCAGTCGACAAGCACCTGCTACATTTGTGGGACGCGCGGAGAAGCCTCACAAAGCGATGGCGGAAGCAAAAGCTTAATCGCAAATTGAAGATAAGGATAGCTCAGTTGTCACAGGAAGCCAATGACTACGCACGTCAACTAAATAACAGTAACTGGAGGCAATTTAGTAACTCACTTAGAGGGACGTTAGGAACCAATAAGACCTGGCACATCCCGAGGAGTATGATCGATCCAGGGGCAACAAAACAATGACGAACAGGGCTTTAAGAATTCTGGAGAATGAATTTAAAGGTAACGATGACGCACTTATCTACGAAGTCAAGAAATTATATGTCGGACAAGACGCATGTGAAGTGGTACATGGCAAATATGCAGGAAAAGAACAACCAGAGTTAGACGCTCCCATAACATTTGAAGAGGTTTATGCGGCGGCCCAGTCTTTCAAAAAGAATACCGCCCCAGGACGAGACAAAATAACAAACTCTATGCTTAGAAATTTGAGTGATGCGGCCCTTCGACGAATCACGGATTTCTTTAATGAAAAGGTATGGGTAGATGGAGGAAACCTTCCAGTAGAATGGAAGGACTCAAACATCATGTTAATACCAAAACCAGGGAAACCAAGAGATATTAAGAACCTCCGACCAATCTCCCTTACCTCATGCTTGGGTAAGCTTTTTGAAAAAACAATATTGACTAGATTGACAGACTATGTAGAGAGAGAGGGTCTGCTACCGGTGAATATGTTCGGTTTCCGACCACATGTATCGGCCCAGGATGTTTTCCTGCTGTTGCAAAATGACGTCATGAACCCAAACAGAGGTTCAAGCGACGAATTCGTACTAGCACTAGATATCAAGAAAGCATTCGATACAATATCACACAAGGTGATAATGGAAGGCCTCGAATCGATTAACTGCGGCCAACGAATATATGAGTATGTCCGGTCATTTCTGACAAGCAGGAAAGCTACCATTTCTTTAGGCTCGGTTACATCTGAAACCTTCGACTACCCAAATAGAGGCACCCCCCAGGGAGCCATGCTATCCCCGATACTATTTAATATCGGCCTGAGAAAGCTCGCATGTGAGCTGGAAAATATAAAAGGTTTAGGAGCAGCTCTTTACGCAGACGATGTCACCTTATGGACAAAGGGTGGCTCTTATGCGGACAAAGAAAACGCCCTCCAGGAGGCAGTAGATAAAATACAAGCTTTCGTGACAGCTGCAGGAATGCAATGCTCGCCGGAAAAAACTGAAATGGTTAGAATTAGGGCAAGATACGCAAAGAAAAAGGACTTAATACCGGTAGCAGTACTGCTGGATGGGAGACAAATCAGGGAGGCAGATGTAATACGCGTGCTTGGCATGTGGATACAAGGAAATTCGGGAACGTCACACACACTACAAAGGCTACGGGGAACCACGGCGAATGTGGCCCGGATGATCAGGCGGATAGCAAATAGCGAAATGGGACTAGAGGAGAAAGAAACCATTGCACTCGTTCACGCATTTGTGATCAGCCGAGTTACGTACGCGCTACCGTACCAGACAATGACAAACCAGGAGACAAAGCAAATAAACACAATAATAAGGAAAGCATTCAAAGCAGCATTGGGGATTCCGGAAAATGCCAAAACCGAGAGGGTAGAGAAATTGGGCATATACAATACCTTTGAGGAGTATGCGAATGCGGTGCTTTTATCTCAAAAGGAAAGGCTCAATTCAAGCTATCATGGGAGAAGAATTCTGGAAAAGATGGCATATACATTGCGACCGTTATATTGTGACGAGGAAACGGTGCTAATAGATGCGGAAAAACGCACACATTTAACTGTAGCGCCTATTCCCAGAAATATGCATCCGACGTATCACGCAGGAAGGAGGAAAGCGAGAGCAGACTCCTTACGCAAAGCATTTCAGAATAGCTCAGAAGCCGTCTTTACAGACGTAAGTAAAGCGAGCAGAGGGTCACATGTAGTGGCAATTGTAGCACAAAATCACACCACAATGGCGTCGGTTAAAACTTGTTTCACACGAGTGGCAGAGGCGGCAGCAATAGCCATAGCCATATCCAACGCAGAAATCAGGGGAGAATCAGTGGTTGTGCTCTCCGATTCACAGGCGGCATGCCGAATGTTTCTCCGAGGAACGCTACCTAAAATAGCGTATAAATTTTTGAATAAACCCATAACAGGAGACCATCACATTGTATGGTGTCCTGCTCACGAAGGTTTGGAGGGGAACGTCGTGGCAGACCGTATAGCTCGAGGCATCACCAACCGAGCGACGGCAGGCCACGACGTTGAACCTCTTTCCAATTCGCGTGACATCCTCCTCCAACAAAGGAAACAACGAAAGGAATATGGGCTTCCACATAAGGACTTGGATAGCCAGCAAAGCAGGGATTGGAGACGAATACAAACCAATAGCTTTCCCAATTTGTATCATCTAAGTAGAATATATCCCGCAAGATATAAAGACACCTGTCCGTGGTGTTCACAAGTACCAACACTCAGCCACATAACATGGGAGTGCACCCAGAGGCCCACACACATCGACAGCCCACACATCACGAAGCAACCACACATGCTTCACAGGCAGTGGGAGGCATGGCTTGCGGACGAGGACAAGCAGAGCCAAATAGCTTTGCTTGACCAGGTCCAGCGAGCCGCTCGTGCCAGCGGAGCCCTGGACTGAGGGCCCGACCAAACTGCCTGTATTTCAAATTTTTTTTTCTTTCTGAATAAAGTTTCTTCCTCCTCCTTCCTCCTTAATAAAATACCTTCTAACGCACAAAAAAAAAAAAAAGCCGGCGCAGTGCGCCGGCTTTTATACACGCGTCGTAACACGTTTCAGAATGGCATACAAGATAAACGCGGCCTGCGTTGCGCTTAACAGAAAGTCATAGCGGCTTCCTTCGCAAACCAAAAGAACCACACGTGTCAGTCTTTTATACACGCGTCATAACGCGTTCCAGAGTGGCATACAAGATAAACGCGGCCTGCGTTGCGCTTAACAGAAAGTGATAGCGGCTTCCTTCATAAACCAAAAGAACCGCACGTGTCAGTCTTTTATACACGCGTCATAACGCGTTCCAGAGTGGCATACAAGATAAACGCGGCCTGCGTTGCGCTTAACAGAAAGTGATAGCGGCTTCCTTCGTAAACCAAAAGAACCGCACGTGTCAGTCTTTTATACACGCGTCATAACGCGTTCCAGAGTGGCATACAAGATAAACGTGGCCTGCGTTGCGCTTAACAGAAAGTGATAGCGGCTTTCTTCGTAAACCAAAAGAACCGCACGTGTCACTATGCTAGAAACGCAACACTGGTAATTCTTGCACGCTCTATTGTTTGAGCCGTACCATTAAGTTAACAAAGTGCGTGCGAATATGCATAAACTTTTAATTTCGACAAGCGTCGAGATGAGCGCCAGTGATTTTGACTTTCTCTCTTTTGTTCTACCACCATGATTTCCACCAAAGGTTAGTAATACCGACCGAGCCCGTGAAAGTGTTATCGGCGCTTCTGGGTTTCAGAATACACAATTTGGTGAGTAAACATGACAATACAGCACAGCCGCGGCATCATTTACCCTAAATGAAGCCTTTTTTATTGTATACGGCATCCGCGCAAGAAGCGACAAACATCGATGCGACGCGCTTGCAGCACTTCCACCAAAGGTACATTTCGCCTCACCGACAGCCGCCGGTCGCACTCGCCGGCGCTTCACTGGCTCTTATGCAAGAACATAGACACGTCAATTCGTATGCTTACTGAACCAATACTATAACATAATGTTTCTGGTGCACTGAATTTGTTTTGGACAAGCCGTCATGTAGCTGTTTCTAGCGACAGAGCAACAGCGGTGTGCGTTGCGCGAAAAACATCGAAATCAATTGTGTGGGTTTATCTACCGAATGAGCATAGAAGCGTCATAAAGTCTGAAGTGATATAGCCCTTTGTAAGGAGCGAGAAATGGATAATAAACTTGGCAGTAACCGCCGATAAACTCTACCTACTCCTCAGTCCACTGAGTTGCGATCCACTGAGTTACTTGCGGTTGTAAATTGTAACAAAAACATAGCGCTGTTCCCATTATCGCAGTGGCAATCATTGTAGGCAGCAGGCGTTCGTGTTTATAAAATGTGCGAATTTCAGAAGCAGGTGCATATCTCGTCGCTCCCAAGTAAACAACAAACAGAACTGAAGCTGAACAGCGACTTCCTCAGTTAACTACTTCTTTAACACCCGCACCACCATTTGTGGGCGTGGCTTTGTGGTTAGTGTACTCAGTTTGAAGTTCGGAGGTGCCAGGTTCGATTCCACGCTGGTGCAACTTTTTTTACGGGGCTTCATACATTAGTTGTTATACAATTATTTTTATTATTTCTTTAGCGGCAGCTCGTCACGGTGGTTCTGACGCAGCTTCGCGCTCCAGCATTGCCGGCTGGTGCGTGCCATCCACCATCCGCTCCACCATAAGCCACCATACACCATGTGCCACCATTTCCACTGCCATAATCCACCAAAATGGTGGTTGGTGGAATCCACCATTCCGAAGGTGGACGTTTTTTCAATAGGGCTCTTACTTTGAAATCCTATAATTGTTGTAGTCATAAAGATATTGAAAAATTATTAGTTCATATGTTTGTTGCATTTGTATAACTTATTGATAAGGTTGTTTCTTAGCGATAATTTTATGAATCTATTTAGGAATCTAATTTGAGGAATCTATTTAGGAATCAATTTAGGAATCTAGTTTTTAGGAATTGCCCTACACTATAAAGCAATAGTTACCATAGAATTCATTTCACCGCATAAAATTGTATGAAATCAAATAAAAACCTACACTATGTTTAGATGCATAAAAACGATAATGAGTTCTATTGAAAAAACGTCCACCATACGAATGGTGGATTCCACCATTCACCATTTTGATGGATTATGGCAGTGGAAATGGTGGCACATGGTGTGTGGGGGCATATGGTGGAGCGGATGGTGGATGTCGCGCTCCAGCCGGCAATGCTGGAGCGCGAAGCAGCCTCAGAACCACCGTGACGAGCTGCCGCTAAAGAAATAATGAAAATAATTCTATAAAAATGTAGCAAGGACCCGTAAAAAAACACGCGCCAGCATGGGATCGAACCTGTCACCTCCGAATTTTGAGCTTAGTACACTAAACACTGCGCCACGCTAATTTTTCCCTTTTTTACCGGTTTGGCACTAAGTACACACATCAATATATGTCACTGTAAACAGTAACATACACAACAGAAGCGATGACAAAACAGTCGCGGAACTATTAGTGGTTACAGTGCTAAAATTCCTTCAGGTTCACCAGAAGTTCAACCCTGGAGAGCCATTCATGAACAAAATCTTGTTGTTTGAGTACATCAATGTACTGAGCAATGCTTTCGCGAAAAAGCATGCGGGCCAGACGACTGTCAGGGTCACAGTAGTAACCAGCCATTCTTGCCCGCCATAGACAATGGAGGCCAAGCAGCATTATAAGATCAAAAGGAAGTCCCTCCTCTTTCTCTACTGTTAAAAACCTGATATCCAGTGAATGTAAGGAAAGTTCCTTTTTTAGAGTTCCCTGTAAAACATACCAGAAGTAAACCCCTTCCCAACAATGCAAAAAAAAACGTGATCTATTGTCTCCAGCTTTCGGCAGATCAAACAGTTCGAACCCCATGGCATATAAACTCCTCTATCTTCTAAAAGAGTCTTAACCGGTAGTGTTCCGGAGTGTAATTTAAGGAAAAAGCTTTTTGCACTAGGCGGAATTTGCATTTTCTTAACACGCTTAAGAACATCTTTCCATTCTCCCCCGCTATTAATTATTCTATACATAGGAACTGGGAAAAACCTGTCGCATATGTCTTTATCCAATTTTTTTTCGCCCGACCGAAACAAGGTATTCATTGGAAAACCGAACTGACAAGAACCGGTCACTGTCCGCATTTTCCTTAAAAAAACCTTGCGTAGCTCCGGGCATGCTTGCGGTGCTAACCACAAAGTTAGGCAGAACACGACAAAGGCGTAACTGGCATACCGTTCTTAAGAAGGGGGTGTTGAACATTTCGAAAAAAAATAAAACGATTAACTAGTTGTCGCACGAACAGATGCGACAGGCTTAGTCCCCCCTGTTTTACTCTTCGGAAGAGATTTGTCCTACTACATTTTACCCAAGTAGACCCCCATATAAACACAGCAAATATCCTATGCAGCTTTTGCCCATGCACCTGTGAGCAACACAAAACCTGCATCACATACCATAATTTGCTCATTAAAATTATGTTGCATACAGTGGCTCTGGGAAACTTGAGAGACGGTTGCCATTCCACTGCGCTGTCCTTTCGCACGTTTCTTTTATTTGTTCAGTCCAGTAATCATTAGCGTCCTTGTAGTGCTGGAAAGCACGCCTAGATATTTTACTGGATTATTAAACCAGTGAACGTTAGCATAGGTATCTGGGGTTGATGTCCAGTCTCCGTGCCACAACCGCAGACACTTTGTCCAATTAACCCGACTTCCTGTAATTTCTACAAAATTTTTAACAACGGCAACTGTCTTTTGTACACTTTCTTTGGTGGTGCAACACACTGCTACATCATCAGCGTATGCCAAAACCTTTACCTGGGCGTCAAGCAGTCTAAAACCACGGATGGTCTCGTGTTTTATTATGGCCAAGCACAAGCTCTCTATGTACAATGCAAACAAGAGTGGACTTGCCGGACAGTCCTGGCGTACAGAACGTTCCAGCCTAATGGGAGACCCCGGGATCTTGTTAATAATTAGTCGTGTAGTAGAGTTCTCGTACGCCAAAACTATGCCCTTTGTAATCACCGATTCGACATAGACGTGTCGAAGTATGGAGAATAACACATCTTGCGGGACGCAGTCAAAAGCCTTTTCTAAATCAAGCTGGAGGATCGCAACATGAGAGTTCAAAGCATCGCAACTCTCAAGGACACATCGCATTGTGTGTGTGTGTTAATCAATATTGAGCGCCCCTTGATGCCACACGTTTGGTGCTCCCCAACTATTCCGGCGATTACGGACTGCACTCTACCTGCCAATACTTTCATGAGTATTTTAAAGTCAGTGTTGGTTAGCAAAATGGGCCTATATGACGACACTAGTTTCAATTTTGCTTTGTCATCCGTCTAAGGTATTAGAATAGTGTGCGTCTCGGCAAATGAAGGTGGCAACGCTTTGATTGCGTAGGCTTCCTTGAACACAGCTTGTAACACTGGTGAAACTTCTGTTTTAAAAGCATTATACCACATCGCACCGAGACCGTCAGGCCCCGGTGACTTCCCAGCGGCGAGAGTCTGAAATTGAAAAATGCAATAGATAAACAGTTATGGGCCTCTCTGACGCTTCTTTCGTTTCGAGGGATAATTGCGGCATCCGGCTCAAGAAAGTGTCCTTGAACTTCGTAACATCTACTAATGCGGCTGCGAAGAGACAATTGTAATACCGGAAGAAAGCTTCAGCGATAGTGCTGTTAGTATTTAGCAGAATTTCATTTTCCTCTATTTCGTCGACGTGATTACGACGCGCTCGTAATTTCCCGATTCCAAGCGCGCGCTTGGTAGGAGTCTCCCCATAGTCCATGCCTCTGCTTTCGCTCGAATAAGGGCTCCTCTGTAGCGTTCCTGCTCTACTAGCTTAATTTGTCGTTTCACCGTTCGAATATCTTCCTTATATGCACCGGGCTCCTTGCTTTCTTATGCTATCAAATTCTTAAGCGTTGTTCTGATTTCATTTGCTGTCATTCTTTTTTGATATTTT